CCACTTTCGACGTCCCGGCATCGTATCATCTAAGCCCAGTGTCCCGCGGTCAACAGTGTGTAAACCACTGTTTCGTGAAGGGTCAGTCTAATCTGCCGGGCGTTGCTGTGGCGACACCCAGAATGGGATTGACAGCTCTGAATTTCACGCACGCAAATCATTGTTAAGATGCAGTTCTTTCAATGGTATGTTTTTCCTATTCTGGAACAGACTTCGAGGTTCAGTGACTTCTCAACATGTAAGCTAATCTTAAACACGATTTAAATAAATCATGCTGTCTCCTAACTAACGCTTTCTCTTCTGGAGTACGGGGATCAACACGAGATTTTCCATTGTTATATACAATGCAATCCTTTGATATTTCTGTACTTCAGTTAACTCATCCCGTGGAAGATATTTATTTTCGCAGTACAGCAGATGGTCAAGACGTTCGCAGCTATAATCTAAATACGAAGGTTCACTGCCGTATGTACAGAAGTCCGCCACTGCGCCTTGTTCTTGGCTAGTTCCTCCAGACAAATTCCAGGGATGGTTCATTAAAATAGGCCACGACCGCTTTTTTTCACATCCTTTTCAATTCATTATTCGCCATATAGTCTGAGCTACTGAAAAAGCATCGTTAAATAAACCATAATTATGAAGATTTCTGTCTTCATACTCACCGCTGTGAAAACCCCAAATCATAAAAACCATAATTAATTAAAATACGACACTTAAACTACAAATGAAGTCCCCTTGGGTAATCATCCGCGCCAACCGTTTCGGAGGCCTGTTTACTTTCTGTCGTCATGGTGGATTTTACTTAAACTGCATGAGCGTGTGCTGATTCTCCAGTATTTAAGTTCCATCAATTCAGGCGCTATTCCGTGACAAACCTAATTGAACACACATTTTACATTAAATATAATAATTATTTGTTGTGCTAGGTTTTGTGTTTGTGAAAGAAAGATTAAAATCGTGAGTAAGGATTAGCGGTGCACTGTGTACGAGATGAGCTCCAAAATTAAGTTTCGTTTCGTTTTACTGTAAAACGTGTATTACTAACAATACAGTTCACCAATTTTATTGACTTTAGTTTATTCCCCTATAAATTGACAAATCAGACTTATCTGGGCACTTTTAGGAAACTCTTACTATTTAAACTAAGTGCGCATAATAAATAATAATAAAAATTTCCCGACTTCTATGGAACCTAAATATTTGCTAACGCGTGTTGTTTACTTTTACGGTAAATTTTAATGTGTATTCTGAGATGTGTCGTTACCCAAATAAAAACCACTTTTAACCCTTTTTGGGTAATTTATCCAGGTTTCGGGAGCATTGTGTTAGTGTTTAGCTTAATCTCAGAGTCCTCTCTGACCATCTGATCCATATTCTATTTATTTTGAATGAGTTAATAATTTATTTTAGTTATAGCCACGGTGGTCTAGCGGTTAGAACGCTGGCCTTGTAATCCTGGGGTCTCGGGTTCGAATTTATAACTTGTGTTGGGCAAGGCCGTGGTCTAGGCAACACGGAGTTTTTCTCCGTGGCATCCCAACAATTACTCATTACTCCATACACACAGAAGAAGGCAATGGCAAACCCCTTCTGGATCATCTGCCAAGAACGTATATGAACAGGTCCCAGTCCGAGAAAAGGATGGAAGGATCCTGTTCATATGGACCTGTCGTCAGACAGAACACTAAATAATAATAATAATAATAGCTCAGTAGAAACTTGGGCCAAATGATCAGAGGGGATGCTGAGTTCAAGCTACGCCTTACGAACAGGAGGACGGCCTGTGCCTGATGTGGTCTTGAAATCCACTCCCCGAAGACCATAGGAAACCTTTGCCACATGTTTTATGTGATTTTTACTGTTGATGTCCTGATGGCACTTAAAAGAGCTGGTTCCTCTGTTATTGCAAGTCTCGATTATTGTTATTATATATTTTACTTATGTTTCGTTTTCTTATTTGTTTTCCCTGTCCTCATTCCTCAATTTGTATTTTGTCTAAAGATCCCATATTGGCTCCGTTGTTGTCTGTTATCACCTATTTCCGTCTCCCTCCCCTCATCTGTCTCGCCAAGTTTTGTGGTAATACTGGATTTTAATGCATACATTTTTCTGTATGTCTTTTAATTAGTTGCGAAGTGATGTGCGGATTTTCGGGAATTTTTTTACTAAAAATAATGAAGTAAGTACCTTTGTATTTAAGCTGCTAATATAATAGAAAATGTATTATAGTAGCTTCTTATTCTTAAACAAACGTACAAACAAACCTAAACAACCCCCCCTCCCCCAATTCGAACATTCTCGTACGTTCTTATCCACACGTAACACGGTGTATTAGTCTCAAAAAGAAATGGCGGCTGTTGGCAAGAGACCGGTGTTATTGTGTTCGTCTTGCTGTACTACGAAGATCCTTACCTTCTATCTCTGGACCTCTTCTGTGTCCCTGTACCTTTAATCGTCCTATACAGGGACATCATCTTGATACAGAATTTTGATCACAAGAAACAACCTGAATTTCACTATCGACAAAATTTAAACACACTCACTTCACTAAAACACACAAACACTCAAAACAGAACACTGCTCATTAATTAACCTTTGATATAGTCACTTTGACACTCTTATGCACAATATGTCTTTTAATTAGTTGCGAAGTGATGTGCGGATTTTCGGGAATTTTTTTACTAAAAATAATGAAGTAAGTACCTTTGATCACAAATTTGATTATTCAACGAAATGACCAAAACAGTGTGAATAATTGCATGTGAAACATAATTTAAATCATTATATTATTTGTTTACGATGTTATTTAAAAATATTGGCACTAATGGAAACGCACATTGGGTAGTTGCTATGGATACGAAACTAAGAAAGCGACAACAGACTTCACTGGACTGCCTTGAGACTTTGCACTTCTCACTTATTGCACTGATACTGATGGTTGTGGAATTATCCTTCTGCAGTTTTTAGAATGATTTTTTTAGAAAACTAATAGCTTCTCTACCCACACATTTTCCCCCACTCTCTACCCCCACTCTTACGTTCAGACCAACTTTCGCTTATGTTCATATCTGCCTCCAGGTACGTCGTGGCCCTAATACTTCAGTAATGTTAGTTGGCATTAATATAATAGAAGACACTGACTTACTAAGGAGAGTCCCGTTAAACGATCAGTTACAAAAACCTCATGTTTGGTTGTAGTGAGGCTTCTTATTCAAAGTTGCAAAATTGTTCAGGAATTTAATATTTACTATTAAACTAGCAGTATGTCCGTAATGTTACGGAGGGAAATTCGACAAATGCTCTCATCTCTTATTAGTCTTTATTGACCAAAGGCGAAAAAAAAGTTGAATATCACAGAAAGAAGTATCATTCTTAAACCGAAAATTTACTAAGGAGAGTCCCGTTAAACGATCAGTTACAAAAACCTCATGTTTGGTTGTAGTGAGGTTTCTTATTCAAAGTTGCAAAATTGTTTAGGAATTATTAGTACTTTTTAATATTTACTATTAAACTAGCAGTATGTCCGCAGTGTTATGGATGGAAATTCGATAAATGCTTTCATCTCTTATTAGTCTTTATTGAACAAAGGCGAAAAAAAACTTTGAATATCACAGAAAGAAGTATCATTCTTAAACCGAACACATTCGAAATTAACAACTGTGCCTGGTTTCCGAGCTGGAAGCGTCCTGACCAGGACTCGAACTGAGGACAATTTTCTGGAGTTCTGACCTTTCTGTGTTCTCTTCCTGATATCATACCCCAAATTTAATGCAATCGATTTACCCGTTCTCGAGCTACAAGCGAACACGCACACAATTTCAATTTCATATGTCAGATGAAAGGACTTTGTGTGGGCTGTTTTCAGCTGCAGGCTTGTTGCAGCTTTTAGTTCCTCCTTTATTACCGCCTTGATGTTAGTCATCATGGCATCCAGTTTGGACTGTACCTGTAATAACAGCTTTTCTGTTATTTTTTCTTCTATCTCAGTCATCTTTATTATTTTCGGCTTGCAATCCGAGCATAACCATGTCAGCTTGCAGTTCTTTCTTTTTGCTATATCAAATTCCCCTCTGGTGAGGCCGCTGCAGTCGCACGTTTCGTTTCAGGCAGTGCCAGTTTTAAATTGGCTAAAAATTCCAAAGAGACGGACGGAATCACAATCAACTGAGTTATCTTTGGTCATGGTACCTAATACTGACGTCTATGCTCTTTGCTTGTGGCATCTTGCTATACCTATTGAATATGGTACCCTTCCCCTCACGTAAGTCACTTCAGTGCCCGAGCGTCTTTGTCCGGTTGCGTCACGCGCCGAACCATGTTCTTCCTACTCTCTCTTCGTATGTCACATTCAAACAGCAGTTACGTGACAGAAGCGATTGCTGACGTGAGATCTGAACAAAACTGTGAAGCACTGAGACACACAAAAACAATATAATCAGACAGAATAACCGTATTTTAACGGCAAAGATTCTAAAGTGCCGCACCACGATGGTGTACAGGGGGCGTGGAGATACACGTTCATTCATTCTTAACCTCGGTATTGTATAAAGGTTACGTTACTTCATGCTTCCCCCACTTTTACTGACTTCATCGAATCGTCTCTCCCGCGTCTCCTTGTTTTTTCTCTCGTAATCCTGTGGGACCATGAACACCTGTCTGCACCCGTCCTGAAGCCATTCACGTCTTCCTGCCTCTTCCCTAACCTTGGGAGTAAACGGGTAAAAAGTTGGGAAACCGGGAAGAAGTGGGAAGGACGTAACATTTTGAAAACATGATATTTTTATTAAGCAGACAACTATCGTCGATTACGATGCCAATTTCCCACGTGTGATGGTTAACTTCTATTAACAGTAATTATAAAAGATTAGTTAATTGATGTGCCGTGTATCAGTATACGAGTCACACTTACAAGTCGGTACATTTTACTGACAGAATTAAGTATCTTTCAATTAGAACAGAGAATATTGCAGCAACAAGTAGTAACAGACGAATGGAAATAGCGGAGTCCAGTTAGCAATTTACGAGCCGGTTTAGCCAAGCAAACCCACTAACACAGATACCGCCGTCTCCAAGTTGGTTTGTTTCGAGGACTAGAAGTCGACAAAAATGCAGTCACTGGTCGTAACTGTAAGTCCTTTCATGACCTCACCATTCTGTGCCTATTGAAACTCAATTTTTATTTTGTAAGATTTGAGGTTTTCACAACAATAAATATTGAAGATTTCTGCCTTCCGGTGTTTGCCTCCGTCATCAGAGCGATTCGCAGGCAGTATGACCTCCGAAACGTTGGTTAACATCGACCAGACTACACAGCGTAACAACCCAGAAGACAGAAATCTGCATACTCATCGCCCTGATGACGGAGGCAGTATGACCTCTGAATCGTTGGTTAACATCGACCAGACTACACAGCGTAACAACCCAGAAGACAGAAATCTGCATACTCATCGCCCTGATGACGGAGGCAGTATGACCTCTGAATCGTTGGTTAACATCGACCAGACTACACAGCGTAACAACCCAGAAGACAGAAATCTGCATACTCATCGCCCTGATGACGGAGGCAGTATGACCTCTGAATCGTTGGTTAACATCGACCAGACTACACAGCGTAACAACCCAGAAGACAGAAATCTTCAATGTTTATTATTTAACACCAGTTTTTGTTCGGGCATTAGCAGGTTCTACAACTATGATTCCGCTTAATTCTCGTTGCGTTGTAAATCTGACAAGTGTAAAAAGTATATTTCACGTTGGTAAACATATACACCCACATTTTTTTATTTAGTCTGTACATTTCCGTCACATCAAACAGGCGTTGTACGCTGCTATGAGCCTAACATAGACCCTATCAAAATACGTGGCATATACAATTTACAGATCTTAATGAGAACTATGCTTTTCACTTACGTCACATATTTTTTGACGAAACATGTGCTTATGGTACCATGATGTCCCTGTTTTATTCAGTATGTCCCCTCTAAGATGTTGAATCAACTGACCGATTTCCACAAAACTTCGTATCATAATTAACACCATTACAACGCCCATACTAACATCATGTGTTTATGATTAACAATTTTATTTTAAGCTTCCAAGCACCCAACCTGTGCGTAAACTGTCAATAGTTTATTTAAATTTATATTTGAAAGAAAATTTTTGACTTTTAATTGCTAAGATACAGAAGGTTTCCATTTCACGCAGACCGCCACAGGCCAGTTGTGTATAGGAATGTAAAATGACGGAAATATCGTTTTAAAAGCATCGATACAATCGACGTCACATTAATTATTTGCGTCTGTACACTCGAATTTGGCGCAGAAATAAACTGAATTTTACGTTCGCGCAAGTTTAATTTTAGGAATGCTCTCTGTGTCACTAGAAAGAAGTGCGTTATGACATTTCGAAAAGGTCTGTCCTGGCTCATCTTAACTAAACACCGCCATGACTAATAGGCCACGTTTTCGTTTCACCTGGATGATAATTCGCAACGTTTATAGACAGACGCTTTGTGGATCCACTGCAGCCTTGAGAGTCTGCGTGGTACAAGAGATCCTGTTAGATCATCTCAGCTGGGTAAAAACACTGCCGGGTCATTGGTGTCAAGTCGTATAAAGCGCCAACCCAGTCCTTACAGAATGTGAAAGTAAATCCGATCTGTTTCACAGCAATAGACGTGTTTGGTGCAGAAAGGGTTTAACTCCATTTTTATAAAACTAAGAACGAGAATAAACTATCTGGTAAAGATTGACCTACGTTTCTAATAAATCTGACAAGTGTAAAAAGTATATTTCACGTTGGTAAACATATACACCCACATTTTTTTATTTAGTCTGTACATTTCCGTCACATCAAACAGGCGTTGTACGCTGCTATGAGCCTAACATAGACCCTATCAAAATACGTGGCATATACAATTTACAGATCTTAATGAGAACTATGCTTTTCACTTACGTCACATATTTTTTGACGAAACATGTGCTTATGGTACCATGATGTCCCTGTTTTATTCAGTATGTCCCCTCTAAGATGTTGAATCAACTGACCGATTTCCACAAAACTTCGTATCATAATTAACACCATTACAACGCCCATACTAACATCATGTGTTTATGATTAACAATTTTATTTTAAGCTTCCAAGCACCCAACCTGTGCGTAAACTGTCAATAGTTTATTTAAATTTATATTTGAAAGAAAATTTTTGACTTTTAATTGCTAAGATACAGAAGGTTTCCATTTCACGCAGACCGCCACAGGCCAGTTGTGTATAGGAATGTAAAATGACGGAAATATCGTTTTAAAAGCATCGATACAATCGACGTCACATTAATTATTTGCGTCTGTACACTCGAATTTGGCGCAGAAATAAACTGAATTTTACGTTCGCGCAAGTTTAATTTTAGGAATGCTCTCTGTGTCACTAGAAAGAAGTGCGTTATGACATTTCGAAAAGGTCTGTCCTGGCTCATCTTAACTAAACACCGCCATGACTAATAGGCCACGTTTTCGTTTCACCTGGATGATAATTCGCAACGTTTATAGACAGACGCTTTGTGGATCCACTGCAGCCTTGAGAGTCTGCGTGGTACAAGAGATCCTGTTAGATCATCTCAGCTGGGTAAAAACACTGCCGGGTCATTGGTGTCAAGTCGTATAAAGCGCCAACCCAGTCCTTACAGAATGTGAAAGTAAATCCGATCTGTTTCACAGCAATAGACGTGTTTGGTGCAGAAAGGGTTTAACTCCATTTTTATAAAACTAAGAACGAGAATAAACTATCTGGTAAAGATTGACCTACGTTTCTAAAGGTGCTTGCTGCCTTCAACATCAGGGCGATGAAAAGACTCTAGTCTTTGTATTGGATTCATATTATTCTTCTATCAAGTAGTCTTGGGTGGTTTAGTGAATAAAATTGTTTGAAAACTATAATTCCTGCGTTATTC